CAGTGTTTGAAATACACGTATGTAAAAGATTATTCACAAACACAACCGAGCTAATCGGTAATCACGGTCAAGGTGTTTACTAATCGCTAGTCAAAATAATACTCACTAATCGCTGGTTGAAACAAGACTGACTCGTTGCGGCGAGCACCGCTCTAAATATAGACCCGGCGGAAACTTCCAAAAAGATCCGTTGCGTCATAGAGCGGGAAATTAGTGTATTTGTCCACAAATTTCTAGAAGAATCCAGAGGGTCCCGAACTCCCTAACATGGTCACCAATGTCGCCAAAAGGGTCGCCAAAGTCGTTGAATTGGTAGCCAACTTGGCTCTACCATCAAGATCTCGCCAAGTCCCCATTGAATCCTCATTATAACGTAAGGAATGGTGTTGCTTGTGAATATTACAATTTTAATATAAAATAAATATAGCATAGAGTAATATAAATGCTGTAAACATCAAATACAAATTATTTAAACTGTTTTACATAGAATTCATAACAGTATTCAAAACCTATTTTTTCTATATAGATCCTAAAATCTCACATGATTGGTAATTAGTTAATAAGATCGTAAATTCCTTCTTGGAATCAATAAAACTAACAATACAGGGTGATTCATAAAATATAAAAAGAAACAGTCAGAGTAAAGTAGTATAAAAAAAAAGCATCACCTCAGTGAACCGTAAGGTAGATGAGCTTTTAAAATTTATGTCTCGCTCCTGGCGGAAGTGACGTAGGCAATGGCATTCGTGTCATGTGACTAGTCAGTGAAAATGGCTGTGTTTGCTGTGGATAAACCATTTTGTGTTCTTGAATTTAGAAAATGTCAAGGGGAACACTTTTTTGGGCATGTTAACTCACTTTGGTTGATGCCACAGTTGCAGAACGACATTCACAACTTATTCTCCAATTGGATAGCTCACTACTACATTGTTCGACCAACGGAGAGATTACCTCTGATGAACATCTATCTCCCTCACCGATAGATTGGACGAGACGTGGACTAGAACATATCACTTGCTAAATGGCCACCCAGAAGTCCAGATTTCACTTTGTTATTTCTTTTTGTGGGGGCTCGTAAAAGGGAAAGCATTCTTCCCTCCCCTTCTTGTTGATATAGGGGAGCTAAGAGTATCACAACAACTATCGATGGACTTGATTAAACACACATTAGGGTGGAAATGGATTACCAGCACTATGTGTTTCGTGCAACTAAAGGTTCACACATAGGAAATCTGTGACTGTTTCTGACAAAACTTTAAAAAATCCTATACAGTTCTGTTACAAGTAACATATAATATCTTACATTGTTCTTGATTTAGAGTGCATTGAAACTGTATACTTCTTTATGAAACACCCTGTATTTTTCTTTTCACGCTGCCGTGCCTAGTCCCAGTTTAATAAAATGACAAATATTTTGTCATCAAAATCAATTTGTTTTCCAGTGGTAAAACACAAAATGTAAAATCTGTTTTTCTTTGTTCTTCAGCTTCAGCATTTTTAATAGCACCTTCAGCCAAATCATTGAATAAATAATCTCTTTTTACCAACGAAATGTGTTCCTCACTGTAGTTTTGGTAAATTTGTTTAATTTTTATCACTTTAATATTTCTTGAAATAAAACATTTTAACACGAAATATGATACATGCTGATTTAATGCATTTATAAAAATCCTACATGAGACTAGACTTCATATCAAAAGCGATTGAACATTTCGTTATTTTTGAATTCTATTTTACGTCGAACTGGTTTCTGTAATATTGAAATGTATTCCGAAGCCAAATTTCTAGAATGCACTTTCGAAGAATTAGTTATGGCACAAGTATATTTCTCAAAAATTTCATTTTAAGTTTATTCTCTATTACTTTTATATAAACTACTTATATAATACCTAATAATACTTACAGTCACTATCAATGTTATGAAATTAGTAAGAGTGAATTAAAAGTAACAGGTTAGTCCATTATTTCCAAAATCGATTTGTTAAACTTGTTGCGAAAAGTTCCTTAAATATTCCAGGTAATTCTGAGGCATATCGTGCCAAAGTGATGAACTTCAAAAGCAACCCGTGACTTGGAATCATAATGTAGTTCTCAGAACTCATCAGACATGTCTAATGATTTATTCAATGAAATGTTAACAAGAACCATAAAAATGGCATTTCTGTTGGATCTGATTTCTTAATGTATTCCTGATGTTACGTGGTTTCTGAATGAATAGCAATAAAAGAATGAAACACGAAACTGCGGCATTAGTTTGAATTTTTTTACTATTTAACCTCGCGATAAAACTGTCTTCAAAGTAAAGGAATGCCCCATCATCGACTTTTGCCAAAGATAGAAAGAGTAATAAATGTATTATGCTAATTGATGTGTGGAAAATTGACATAGACATACCAGATACGGTTAATCGTTTTCCAATATGCAGTTTCCTTTGTGTGTGCCGTGCTTTTATTTTCTGTTTCTTCCAGTTTCAGTTCGTCTTTCCGCCATTTTCTTTCTTTAGATTCCAATTGCGCCATTTTTTTTTTTGGTTCCAGAAGTAATACTATCGTGATCTTATTATTTTCTTGACCAGTAATGCGTTTCTCTGTTGCATAATGTTCCGTGCTTAATTTGAAGACCTTTTTCATATCAAATTGTTGTTTTTTTGTCGTAATTCTGCTTCCTTTTTGTTGGTAAATAAGATGTGATGCTGTAATTTGGAAGGCTATTAAAACTTCCGAGTCTTACTTTTCGATTCCGTGGCTATTTTTTTTAAAACATGTATGGTGATACGATTTACAGCATTCAAATCATGACGTAGATTTTCTAAAAAAATATGTTTAATGATTTTGTGCAAAGAAAGGAAAACAAATGTTGCATTCCTAGAAAACTAAGTACAAAAAAAAAAATTTTTTTTATCCCAAGTAAAATAAATATTTCAAAAGAAAAGTTTTTTCTTTGTTTTTAGTTTCTTTGTTGTCTTTTCTTGGAACGTATACTTTAACCACTGAACAAAATAATTTTAAAAGAATTCCAGTTGTTAAAGAAATACTTAATGTGTAAATGCTTTTTTAACACGCTTTTATAAGTTTCACTTGTATGTAATGGAATATTTGAACTTTAAAGGTCATTAACATAACATGACCATTTAACATTTAAAAGGTCAGATTAATTCGAAATTTTGCACACTTATCAAGGACCGATGACAATACAAGAATTTCATAATTTTGTTTCATTGTCCTGATTAGGATCCTCATAAATAAGGATTTTAAGGATTTCGAGATTTAGTGACTATAATTCATTATGTCGTTTCTACATTTGGTGACTAATTGCATAGACAATTTTCAGATTTGGCTACAAATTTCATATGCCATTTCCTGATTTGGCTACTACAAGATTAAGGAGCAACCCTAAAACAGCAAATAGGCTTGTGGTTAATACAAATAAACAAAAAAGTATTCTTTGTGTGAAAAAGGGTTGGGTGGATGCGTAGTTTTTCTGAAAATGGAAATAAAAAAAAGTCTCGTCCATGTGAAAAAAAATAACTTATATTCTTACTGCTAAACATTTTCTATTTTTATAAAAAAAAATTTTTACGTTTAGAAGTGATGATACGAATTAAAATTATAGCAATACGTTTAAAAGGCGATAAATTTATGTTCTAACTGCTAAATATATGTTTTTTTCATTTTGAGAAAGCAATATGTTTAAAAGTGATTATACGAATTAACATTATAGCAATACGTTTAAAAGGCGATAATACGATTGACATCTAATATTTCTTCTTAACACATTTTTATTAATTAGACCTGTATCTACGGAGACGGTATCTTTCAAATTTTACGATATGGGACTCATCCGAGGCCCCATAAGCGAAGAGAATAAATACCCTTCCGTCCCATTAATTAATAATATCCGTTGAAGAGCAAGACTAATTCCAGCAGCAACATAATTTCGGTTCCAAATATCAAGGATAATTCAACAAAAATAAATGATAGTTTTAAAAACTAAAAAAACAGGCTTTTATTGCAGATCGAACTAAAAAAATGAAAAATATATTATAGTTAAAAAAACCCAAAACACGCTTTTATAGTGAATTGAACTAAAAAGTGAAAAATAATTCTTAATATAAGAATAAAATGATTAACGAGAAAATTAATGTCAGTGTGGTAAAAGCGTGGGGTGTGCTTGGTACTACATTTTTACACTAATTCAGCATTTCGGAATAGAACTAGTAAGAAATTATAACAATTAATATAGAGCACCCCATGCTTTTACCACAATGACATCAATTTTTTCGTTGATCATTTTATTCTTATATTAAGAATTATTTTTTTACCTTTTAGTTCGATTCACTATAAAAACGTGTGTTTTTTAGTTTTTTTTAAACAAAAATTTATTTTCAAACATAACTATTGATTACGTCTTATATTTGTTTTGTGGAAGAATAATTTTTCTGAATAATGCATTACCATCTTTATACAATATAGAACACGATGAGTTTTACCTCACACAAGAACATCAACAATACTTAGGATATACACAAGATAGGAAAATATTTACGAAAATATATAGTAGAGTTAAAAAGCTTCCATGAAATCCGAGGTTTAGCACCAACATAAGACCGAAATGTATGGGAGCGAATTATACGCCGGATGTAAAAATGAGAGCTTTAAAAATAAAAAAAAGTGTATGTGTACTTATGTACGAACGTAAGAAGTTATATACTTCTTTGGCGTAACAAGATTAAAATCTTTCTAAAAACCTTTAGCTGGGCCAAGGACGAAAGGCGGTCACGAGCAGAGTTGAACGATACTAACCTTCAGTCAATCGGATCAGCCCCAAAACTGAGATAATCACCATTTAAATAAATTTAAACACCCCCGCACAGGGACAATAGGACCAATAATATGGGGAGGGGGTCGAAGGCGAGAATAATCTGTCCCGTTCTGCATATTTCTAGACAAAGCATTTTCGTATCCGTTCCTACGGAACGCAAAGCAATGGTTCGCTGACGCGAAGGGATAGCTCGGTGGAAGAGAATTCGACTGCAGATCGAATAGTCCCCGGTTCAAATCAGGGAGTCTTCTTCTTCAGGGAAGTGAAGAGAAATAATTTTTTTGAGAATTTCGAAGGCTGCAATGATCTGTCCCGTTCTGTATATTTCTAGACAAAGCATTTTCGCATCCGTGACAGTGTGCGTCACATCCGTGACGGGGTGCGTGCGCATTGTAAAAATTTACCCTCATCATATTTCTCTAATGCCCCACACAAAAGAAGTATAACTTCAAAAATTAAAAAAGAGATGAACTTCTTATAAAAAATTAGGCTTCTACACATATTTTAAAATACATATTTCGAATGTAGAATCCATTAAATAATACCAAGGGGAGTAGGCGTGACCGTGGTAGCTTAGTGGTCAAGGTATCAGATTGTGGCTAGCATGTCATGAGTTCGAGCCTTGTTCCAATAAAAATCTGCCGTGTAGGGGAGAGATGCACGTTAAATCTGTCGCGAGCTCAAACTTTTTTCCGTTGATGTAGTGTGGTAGTTAGGAGAGGGGGATGCCGACTCAGGTGTCGTCCACGTCACTTGACCGTGGTCCAAAATTACGAGGTCCGACGCCAAAAGCCCTCGTGTAGCTGAACAGTGCGACGTTAATATTCACTCACTCAAGGAGAGAATATTTTGCTTTTAAAACCAAATAACGTTATATTTACATTTTCGACACTCTAAAGACGCAAGAAAATCCCGCATTTTACAAATGTTAAAAATATCTAACTGTTGATAATACATGTAAATTGTGCCATTTTTTCATATGCGAGTATTCTCCAATACTTTTAAGATAAGATAAGAGAAGTTTCAAAGAATCCTGATAAAAAGCGATTTAAAAGATTCCTTTTTTTCTACGGGATTTTCAAAAATACAAATTAACTAATAAAAACACAGCCAAAGAATTTAAAAAAAGAATCTAAATTGCTTACAGAGGAAAGAGTGATTACAAATTGATACAATGTTATATTTTTCAAACATAGCCGACGTCATGCGTGATAAAATGTGTCAAAAATTAAATATTAGTTATGCATAATAGTTTTATCTGAAAAAATTCATAATTAAATGAAATTTTTAGAAGTTATTCAATTAATTTAATTAAATATGCATACGCCTAGGGTATAACTTAAAAATAAATTTCAAAACAAAATCTATTGTTTCTAAGGTAGCTTACACAAGGAAGGAAAAAATATTGTTGTACAAAATTAACATTAAGGCAATGCGTAAGTATACAAAAACACACACACTGAGGAAAAAATCTGTATCTTTGATATAATGAAATAGTGTTTTGAAAAAAAGCAAACATCACCCGGGGCTTTTCTTCATAATGATTTTTTCAGTATATTTGTTTAGTGATCTTTTTGGGAGCTTTAATTAATTCTCTCTAGAAAGAACTTTGACTTTAACAAAAGAGTTTTAAGGGTCTCTTCAGATGTAAATAAAATGTCTACAGCTAAAGTGACCTTTCATACTGTATATCTTATATATTATATTCTACTGACATTGATTATCAAAAAAATATCCATTTATATGTTTTTTACTTTTAAAAAATAACAGTTTCGAATGCTCTCAGTCACAGGATGCCCTCACAACTAATTTTAAAGAAAAGAAATATCTTATTTTTTTCAGATAAAAAAATACTCCAATATTAATATTACATTCTTTTCAATTGTATTGAGATTAGAATATATTATTATATTACATACTTTATTACATGCCTCTGTTTGAATCAGTGAATTTTCCCAGTTTGAAATGTATTCTAACGTAATGTTTAACTTGTTTTTAACTTTATCCCTCAAATTGAAAATGGCATAATTGTAAAATATTTCAAAATTTTAGGGACGTTGTAAGATTAAAGTGCAGGCTTTTGTTAAAATGATATGAGTTTGTTTTAGCATCGATATATATATATATATATATATATATATTTACCTTAAAACAGTTTTTAAAAATAATGTTGCTAACAATTAAGGCAATGATTCTCAAACTGCGGGGTGCCCCCCCTAAGGGGACGTGATAACCCTACGTGAGGGTTGCGAGCATATCGGAAGGTGGAGCATAAATTATTACGTTAAAAAATTATTAATTTACTGAAAGGAAGCAAAAAAATGCATTCTGAACCATGAAAAGTAACATAATACTTATTTTATTGCTTAAAAGTAACTTAAACAAAATTTAATATCTATATTGATAAATTTTACAGTTTATAGTCAAGGTCGTATTGTAGATTTAGTGTAAAATCATATTATTATTGCATTTAATACGTTGTCATTGTATGGGGGTGGGGTGTGGGTGGCGATGAGAGAAAATTATGATCGAAAAATGGGTCGCTAATATAGCAAGTTTGAGAAACACTGAATTAACGATTTAATTTAGAACTAAATTTTCTGTCACCACAAATTATGTTATTCTAAATAAGATTATAAATGGATTAAATGAAAAAATAGACGCAGAGGAAGTGCAAAAAAAAAAAGTACAGGCGTGAAAAGTGTAAAGAAAATGGTTAACTATTTTTGACGTACAATGCTAAATAAAAATATAATATATCCTTCATTTTACTCAGAATAAAAGAAAACAAATAATCCGAAATAACTCCATTTTTTTCTTCATTTTTCTATTTTTCTTTGAAGAGACAGATAAAACAGTAATATATATATATATATATTGTAGAATTAATTAATAATGTAAAGAAAAAGATAAGAAAAACTGGAAAAAAGACATGAAATTTGCAACCTTTCAAAATGCGATTAATAAAAAGTTCCACTTATATGTTTTAAGCAAAGTCTTAAAAACCATAATTAACAAGTGTCCAATTAAAAATAATATTAAGACTGAATTATTTTAAACTGCCGTAGAGCCTTTCATAACTTAATTCAATACATTTAATCAATTTTTTAAAAACATTTTTCAAATGTTTGGTTATAAGAAAGATAGGAGAGGCTAAGAAAATATGACATAGATTTAATGCAACCATTTCAGATATGTTTCTTTTTCTTTATATTATCATTTGGAATAACAAAAGAGCAAAATATTTTAACATTTAGATTCCTCTCTGAGAAAGAATTTGAGTTTTTATCCACTGTATTTAGTTATAAGTAGGGCCTAACTGGACCGAAAACCAAAAATCATTCTTTCGGTCGGAATGAAAACTGGTACAGAACCGAAAAAAATATCAGTTTATTTTGGTTCGACATATCTTCAGTCATTTTATTACTGTAACCAACTATCGATATTTTTTCTGTTTCTTTTCTCTCGAAACTACTTGTAGAAGGCAGATTTAATTCAATATAATGAACTAGAAGTATATATGATTATGCATAAAATAAAATTACTCATTTGGAATTCAACCCAGAATAGTTATTTTTGTCGGAACGGAAACCGGAACTGAACAAATATATATATTTTAAGTGGACCGGAAAAAAAATCACGGTTCAAAGTCCAGGTTATATACCAATAATACATATTTTTAGTCATATGGTCTAAATCGAAGAAAGTAAGAAAAACTATTTCTGCGCAAAATATTTATCTCTGAGAATGTGAAATTGTAACAATATGTGTTATAGCAAACGACGGCCGTATGTTATGTATCCTTGACTCCTCTCTAAGCCATATTTTCACTCTTAGATCTTCAATATCCAAACAATCTTAAAAGTGCTAGAATGGTTCCCAGATAAACAATGCTGTAGAAAGAAATACAGTTGTATTTTTAGAAACTCTTTACGTCAATGGAGAAAAAAAAAGAAACTACGATGTGTAGAATTAAAAACTAACAACTCAACTTAGCTTGGAATGTATAGCTCAAAAAGAACACTTCATACATTTAAAAATGGTGTTTAGAATTTTATAAAAATATATTTCTCAATAATAGTTAAAATTCAAACGGAAGAAAAAACTTAAAAAAAGCAACTAAAGGGATTTAACTCTGAAATTTAACTTTTAGAGCTCAATAAAATAAATTTTTATAAATAAATTAAATACCTTTCGTAGAGCAAATATAAGACGTTTCCTTTATAATTTTTCAATTCCTACACACACACACACAACACTATTATCTCACACTTTCTATATATTTATTTATTTATTTATCTTGGTGGAATTTTCAATCATTAATAAAATACATTTTAAAGCGCTCAGTTGAGCTGAAAGCTTATATACATGATTGTCTTGGATGACAATATAATAATTTAATTATAATTAATAAAAATTAATTGATTAAAACTAATTATTTAAAGAATTACAAATACAGCCACGTTGGCATCATTTTTGGCAACTTAGCAACCCTTTTAGCGATTTGGGTCAAAACTTGACAAGTTTTTTTTTCTCACGTTTTAAAGCATTCAGTGAACTGAAATTTTATGTTCACGATTGTTTTAGATGACAATACGATACTTTGATGATTATTAATAAAAATTAATTACCACTTGATGCTGTGATTCTGTCATATGTATAGACATATATTATATTAATTGTAACTATTTAATAAAAAGTAGCTAAAATAAAATTTTTATTTGTTGATCTAAGAAGTAATTGACTTAATTTTTTTTTTATATTACTTGTTTTACTGTATCTTTTCTTTCACTATAGAATTATTAACATCCCTTTTGTTAAGTTTTTTTCAAGTTGCCTATCAACATTAGAAAAACTCACACATGACATTAAAAATGAAATACTCCAAAAGTGTGACCGAAAAATATGAAACCTCATTGAGTTATGCAAATGATATGAAATGCCAGCGCTATGTCACGTGTTAAATAGAATATATAGAACCAGTAGAATAACCTATATAGTGTTATTATCTCTGTCCATATAAATTTTTCCTTCCCTCTGAAGACATGTGAAATAAAAGATAATGTCATGCCACCACCAATCGGGGTGATTCCAGCAGACAAAGGATTTGTCGATAAGTACGACAATTTGGCCAATACGTCAAATTTTGGCTGACATTCATCTGGATGCGTCTACGGTGCATAAACTGTAGCAAACATATTGAAACAAAGAAAAGAGGTAGGTTTGAGGAATACCGGTGCGGTTAAAACGTCGTCAA